ATATCAGTTAATAGCTACGCTTTCACCCCAGCAATATGGAGAGTTAACCTTTAAGTCAAATACATAATTGTTATCCCAAGGGGGGGGTAGGGGGGTAGGGGTACTCCCCTATATTTGCTATACGGGTATCTGTGTCTGCCGCTCAATAGGGTCCCTTTATCAGAGCTCCAAGTCCGGGATAGGGTATCATTTTTTGKCCATTTGTCTGGGATAGGGTGGAGTTTTGCCTGTGATCGTATCTGCCTGTCCACGCACCTTAAATCTSGAGTAGGGTATGTAAAATCACAAAATTTGTCTGGGTTAGGGTAAGGATTTTGYGGGWTGTGCGACACATCCCCTCCCAAGTTGTGATCAAGTACCCCCTGGGATTATAATCAATTCAAAATAGGCATRTATGTATTTTCTGGTAAACCATTTCGAGCCTGTGATGGCTACCAAAATACTGTCTGATTCTCTGTTAATTGAGAATCAGTTAACAGGATCGTATCATCATTTTAGTCTTACATCTGTCGCTTATAAAGCTCTTATCTTACAATAAACTAATGAGAATGACGTCATGGAAGGCTTCATTTAAATTATACATTTTATACGAACTTTGAAGATGCCGCTTAAAAATGGCTTCATTGGACATTTATAAATTTATTGTAGACAACTATATCGGGAATAATCATATTCCCAGATGCCGTTCAYTAAATCTTTTTTGAGCTAGTATATTCAAAGTTTCAAAGTCCGTATATCTATTAATGAAGCCAGTCTCATGACGTTATTGATATTGTAAGTTTGTTCCTTCATAACTGTCATAACTCAAAGACGCGATAATGAAAGGAATGAATATTTCACCATTCGATTATTTAGTTTATGTAGACTCAGTTTACAAAGAACCAGAAATTATTTTGTCAGGCGTTATAGGTATTTTAGGTTTCACGCAAGTCAGTGAAACGGCAGAGTCGTGCTGCGCAGCAAAAGCTCGATGCTGATTCAAACGTCCAGCTGTCGTCACGCGTGCCGAACTCAACGCACACAAAATCTGTTTTCGACAATAATAATGGCTGTAAATTGCGTGTTATCGGATTTTTTCATATTCTTTTGACTGCACGCATTTGGTTCAACGTATGAATTTGTTTCGGACGACATCAGCACGACATATAAACCTGGGGATATATATGAGTACTATTATTAATGAGCCCTAATAAACTATTAATAAACTCTTGTATGTGTGTCCCTTACCTGAACACCACCCTGCTGATATGTTTGTGGTTGTCCCTGAGGAGGTCCATAACCTTGTGGTGGCGGTGCATAACCTTGTGGTGGCGGTCCATAACCTTGTGATGGCGGTCCATAACCTTGTGGTGGCGGTCCATAACCTTGTGGAGGTGGCTGGCTATAACCTTGAGGTTGTCCTGGCTGGTAATAAACTTGCTGTGCTGCAGGAGGGTATAGTCCCTGTTGAGGAGGATAGCCTGGATAGCCTGGTTGTTGTTGTGGTGGTGGATAATTACTCATCTAGATTGCTTGGAATACAGACTTGAAAGACGTCGAGTGTGGTTGAAGTGTTTACATGTAATCGAAAGTGGATTTCGATCTTGATGCAAGAAGTCGTTCTATTTTACAATTTTCACACGAAGAAACAAGATTCAAAGTATTTCGATTAACATATGCGTAGATTGCCTGCTCATTTTTTRCAATATCCAATCATAAAGAAAAGTTTTCTGAAGTTGTTTGTTAGTGCACTTGTTTTGATTTTGTATTAAAATGGCCGCTGCCAGACGTCGTCTCGGGGCCGCTGYCAACCATACGATGACGTACTTTACGTAATGAGATATGTAAATCGTCACGCAAGACGTTGCAGCACAATAACAAGGGTTGTCTCACAACCTTTCTTTGTCGCGCGTAGCAATTCCACAAAGTCAGAAGTAGACCTTACCAATGATATTCAAAAAAAAAACACCCCCATTGAGATCTAAAGCTTTTTTGTCTGACAGACCTGTATTAGATACTGTCCATTAATATAGTRCGATAATTAATAAAGTGCTAAAGTGAAGTAATCAAGTGTGACCAGATCTCTTTTACTAATCTAAGATAATTGCAATGGCTACAATTAAAACTATTATTGACAATTATGCTACAATCATTGCTTCCTAATCACCACCACCATCACCGCCACCGCCGCCATCATCTCCACCTCCCCCTGAACCTCCTTGGTCTATTGGTCCCCTACCGCACCCRTCGTCYCCTGGACCACCAAATGCAGGGTCATAATTGTGTCGTGAACTTCCACCTCCACCACCAGACTGGACAACAGGTTGAYGAAATGTTGCAAGATGTTTTTTACAATTAGGACAGGAGTGCGATGCATCYTTTGCACAATCCATACAGAAAGGACAACAGCAACAACTAAAACATTAAGAAAAGTGGTTAGCTTGCAGTTAATAATCTGACTTGTCAGTGAAAGAGTGCATTCATCAGTGGCAGATCTAGGATTTTTCAAAATGGAGTCCAGATTTTCAACTTCTTTAATTTTAAGATTATGAGTGCTGTTCCTTTTTGAATATTGCAGATGATAAAAAACTGATAAAAATGGGTCCAGCTGACCCTACTTTCTACCCCTAGATCCACCACTGTTCAACATAATAGCAGGATTGAATAGATTCCTTTACAGTTAACAGTAACTTTGTCAATGGCAATTTTCTATTATGGACCAAATTGTAGACCCTTTATGTGAGTACTATACAAAYATTTCAGATAATGTTCATCTGAAACAATCGGTAAAAAGTGTGGAATTGGTGGGTTTCAAGGAGAGGATAAGATCCAGCTTTGGATTCACAAAGGACTATATTCTTGTATTCCCCCTACTGATTTGGCRAATAAAGTATTATGGTTCAACATTCCATTTTTATGTTACCATTTTCCAATTACCAAAATCAATTAAAATGGGTGCTTCAATACATATGACTGTTAAACAATTAAAAATCTTTTAAAAACATCTTGATGTGCAGATTCTATCATGGTACCCATATTCTAGTAGCCTAGTGCTTTTCTTGTTTGTCAACCATCTGTAACCTCACATAKTRACTCCCCTGGGACTTTCYTTCYGTTGCATTSAGAATGCCTGGGTACTAAATTGATTACACCATATACCTACCAGACTAAGGACAACATCAAGCAATATAGAAATGTTGTTGTGCCAATTTCTCGACTGACTTTASTTGTGATAATRTTATGGCAAAATGGGCATTGACAGCGTACAGGAACTTGTTGGAAATTAGCTGGCTGCAATGGCTGTGTGGTTACTACTTGCTGCTGGTATACTGTCTGCTGTCCATAGTTCATCTATATGGYAAAAAAATGGTAAAATTAAAGTACTGGTTGGCTTTCATGTCAATAAATTAATACACCATATTAGAGCATGCATTAAGCAACAACAAACATGGTTTATAGCTGACATTGTACAGATAATAGACTTGCAAAAGTTTAACTGATTCATTGTTCTTTAACTCATGTGCACTTTAACAAATAATAACCATAGTTACAGTTAAATCAAATTCTAGTTATTAATGAAAAAAAAAGATAGCCAATGATAACAACAGTACTTTATTGTAGCTGTCATCACTAAATTTGACCTTTGAAACTTCACCACAATTACTTTCACATAAAATAGTGCCTTAGTTACTTGGAAAAAAAGGAAAGATTGTTTCCTTCTTAGTGTTGCAAGATGTATTGTATTTTGGGTTAAGGTTCTTTATTCTATTGGGCTATTACTTCGAAACAAAAGTTCTTTTTCCAACAAGATTTGAAGCATGGCAACGCGTTAGCCGATTAGTTCGATATTATTTTGATGATGCAAGGTACCTTGTATATAAAATTACACTAAGAGAGCGGTTATCATGCTATTATTAATAAGTCCTAATAGTTAATGAACTCTTGTATGTATGTCCCTTACCTGAACACCACCCTGCTGATATGTTTGTGGTTGTCCATACCCCTGAGGCGGTCCATAACCTTGTGGYGGCGGTCCATAACCTTGTGGAGGTGGCTGGCTATAACCTTGAGGTTGTCCTGGCTGGTAATATGCTTGCTGTGCTGCAGGAGGGTATTGTCCCTGTTGAGGAGGATAGCCTGGATAGCCCGGCTGTTGTTGTTGTTGTAGTGGTGGTGGATAATTACTCATTGCGATTGTTTGGAAATAACACAAACTTGAACGATGTCGAGTAGTTAGGAGTGTTACTTATCGAAGCTGATGGATTTCGATCTTGATGCGTTCTATTCTAAGCTATTTCCACACGAAGAAACACGATTCACAGTATTTCAATTAACATATGCGTAGATCGGCTGCTCAATTTCTGCAATAGTCCAATTATAAAGGCAAGTTTTCTGCAGTTGTTTGGTCACCTGCCTTGATTATTTTGTAATGGCCGCTGCCAACCATACGATGACGTACGTCTTTACGTAATGGGATATGTAAATCGTCACGCAAGACGTTGTAACAAGGGTCGTGTCGCAACTTTTCGCATGAAAAGTTGTGTCTCACACGAATTAAGAAATAGAATTCAGATCTAATTTTCGAAAATGATCATAAAAGCAACATGCARCGCCAAAATGAAGTGTATCACCMCTGCCAGRAACTTTTTCTCGCAGTATTCTAGTCACGTACGCTGTTAGAGCATGCGTATTTTCTCGTTTCGAATGTCCCGTCATCTCGGCTCTGCTCTGGGTCTCAGCTTATCTCGTCCAAAAAAAAGCTTCATGATCACTATGTGAGTGAAGACGAGAATTGATGGTCGTCAATAGCAACKGAATACATAATTAGTATAGTTGCATTCAAAAGAACAACTGTTTTAAAAATATTCAGTGTTTACATGTAAATAAAAAGTTTGACAGAATAAATTATTAAATCGATTAAATCGTCAATATTGTAGGGTTTCTACCAAACATGGCAGCTTCGGGGATAGTTTGGAAAATTAGATATGCCGCCTGATTGTCCGCTATCTGGAATAAATAATGACAGAAGTCACGGGTGGATTTATTACCTTCGAAAAGGCTTATATTCGAGGTAAAACGTCTATTATATGGAAACAAATGAATTTCATGCAAGTTTTTTACCAAACTGAAAAGAATTGCATTAAAAGAATACAAATATGCCAGGTTATTGTCATATTAGATATTTTTTTCATTTCATTGTTTAATTTCTACCAATCATTCTAGAAGGACTACTGTTACCAACTATATATCACCAACCACCGAAGCCATATATTGAGTCAAAAATAAGAAGCCGTGACTGGGTTGTAAGTGAAAAGTGACTAAACAGAGTTTTTACCCATGCAAAAAATACTTTATCACTATCAGCATTCATTATAATTTATCGTTCATATTTGCACAAGAAGGCTAGTTCCTCAACGCTCTTGATGAGATCCTTATGCGACTGTAATATCGAAAACAAAGTAATGGAGGAGAAAATGAAATGTCTGGACTGGAGACTTAATTTACCTGAATTCAAGAAAAATTGCTTGTGTGCCGCAACAAAATAACATTGAATGTCTTCTTGTTCAATTCAATGAGAATATCCGGAATACGGACTGTCTAAACAGGCAGTGTGGGGTAAAAAATCGTCGGAACAACTTTAATTTCAATTAATACAACAAGGGAAATGCAATAAAGACCGAAATAATACTGTTCGACAAGTTGTACTTATTTGAGTACCAAACGCACGACGTGAATCTAGAGCGAAAACCCATGGTCATTTGCCTCTCGTTTCCCGTTAGTACGCGACCATGGGCGTAATTTCAATCTCAATTTATTGGTRTATGTATATACATACTTACAGGTGTTTATGAATAGAAAATAAAAACTAATCGAGGTAGGCCAATTGATTACAATACTCCGATTTCGAGTTCTGGTTTGCTCTGTGCTAGCCTCAAAACCAAGCAACATATTCGTTTGTTTCATTGATAGCCCGAGAAAACGCATGGAAAAACAATGGAATTCATTTGAAATCTCACACTTTTATTCTCACAATTAGGAATATTTTGCGCACAAATGAGGCCAACACAGAGCATTGGAGAACTCGAAACTGGATTATTGTCAATTCAAATTCATAAAAAATATACTGAGAAATAGCGAAATGATAAATTTCACAACAAAATTGTAGAATTAATTTATATTYGATTATATTCGATATACTGTGTCGTAAAATAACTTAGGATTACAATACAATGGATGATATATCAATAATAATGGTTAGCTGAACTGTAGCAAGAAATTGAATTTGTAGGACTTTCAACCAAAGGAAAACAGTTAGCTTTGCTTCCGCAGACAATGACTCTCTCCCGCAGCGATTGGTATCTTTCATCTTCCCTTCAGGTCGGACCTGCTCATATTTTTGCACGAGGTCTTCTTTTTTTTAGGCATTTTCACACAAAAGCCTTTTGAGATATTTAATACTTTTGAAATAATAGACATATCTATCCAGTTAACATTTAWTTTAAGACAGTAAACAGTAAAATGGGATCTTATGCGCCACCGACATTGGAAACATTTTYACTGAACAGGAAAATTCGCAAGCTGCATGAGCACATGGAAGTACTATGCTCTTTTCATTGGGTGCGAAAAAGTTATGAATAATGAATTTATAACATTATTGTGACCGATCTGAATTCTTATTTTATTTTGACATTGAACGCCATTCTTATTGCCTGCCTTTCAATCATATCCTTATTCGTCATCTATAAGGCGGCGTTTTACAAATGTTTTTTGTATAGTTTTGTTAGTTTTTGTTGTTGTTTTGTTTGCGTGTGTGTGTGTTTTTTTGATACGAAGAAAAGGGCTCATTATCCTAACGTGAAAAAGCGAAATGAATTAATCGAATGCTCATTTGTTTGAGTCGCAAAAGTCTCTTCAAAATTTATACTTTACTTTGAGATTTGTCCAGTCTGRTTTCTGAGGCCGAAGCAAGTACGGAACGAGATGCCTCGAAAAGTCTGAGAGGAAAAGCTGGCGTCGACCGCCTTATATCTTGACTTTTATAATATACAAAATYTGATCCATAATAACGCAGTTTGAATTTCAATTTTAATGATAGGAGAAGTCAAAAATATAAAAGAGGTGAACGAGTAAAAAAGCCTGTTTTGATAATTACTTCAGTTTTATATCATCAATTTTTTGATAGATTYAGCATTTTATTTGCCATATCTGAATGAAAGTGGTCTAATATCAAACCGCGTGAATTCTACRTCTGAAAAATCATAGTCGGTGGTACACGCCTGCTCCGCCTGCACAAATGAAAGGGGATGCCGAGCAGTCTTTCAAACGCGCGAACACAAAATCACATCGTCTGCGCATGAGAGAGATATCACGGAAATTGCACTCATTTTGACAGTATATATAAATTAATAACAAAACTATCATTAAAGTGAATTTATTGAGATTCAGCAAAAATTTGCGCGTACAACAGCAAAGCAGTGTGTTTTGAACTACTCCGCGTGTAAGTATTAGTGAGATCTATGACAAGAAGGTGAAACAAACTTTTTTAGTATCTTATTAAGTACGGTTTATGATTTATTTTAGAGACTTTGCTTGGTGCTATCACCAAGGAAGTCTATAAATGCTAATCAAGTTTTCTATTTTTTCCGTGTTCCACACGCGTCCATGGATATAGCATAACATTAATGATTATGTCTTGATTTTTTTTCAAAACGCTTTATTTAAGATTTATTTCTTATAAAGTTGTAAATAACAATTTATATTGATACCTTAGTGCATGCCTGAGATACTGAAATTAAGGTTTTGTATGCATGTTGTCACGTAATGCATGACTTTCTCAAAGTTGGTCTTTAGCCCTAACAATGAACTAAACAAACAAGTCTAGTATGTTCTATTTGATCAATTTACTCTATCCTGCTTTGCATCGCAATCGGAAGAAATGTGCATCATAACATCTGTCAAGCTTTTATGGTTTGATAATTCATAKTTAKTACTAACAACGGATAATTGTAACATCATAGTTATATTTTTATCAAAGAATCATGTTGAAGAGGCTAGAAGAGGATCGTCAACAATCATATTGGAAATTGACAGAGTCGGAAAATGTTGGAGTCGTGTTGAGTTGAACAAGAATCATTTTGTTTCGAAAACATGAACTTCGCTAGACATAAATAATAATTCTCAGCCTTTTAACATATACAATGATGATGTAACTATGGTGTTGAGGGGCGGCGCAGAGGAGCGGGATGAAGGTGGGGGGACGTGAGTGGCGGGCTGCGTGCCATGTTCTGATTCCAAATTACTGTATTTTTCGCAAATTCTAACCTCTTCCCCCTCCCCCTGAAAAGTTGCTGTGCTGTCCCTGGTTTCAGGCATTAATAGCATCTATAGACATCACGACAATACAGTTTGGATGTTACATTTGACTTGGTCGGAACAACTCCAGCACTCTACGTACTAACTCTGATTGCAAGTAAGTATATACAATGCAAGACTTTATGATATCGTTTTTCATTTAATTACACGGCGAAAACGGTTACGCACAAAAATAAGCGTTTTTAGAAATAGTCCCGAAACGGTCATCACTCGCGGTGGTTTCGTGTAGAAATGTGCCTAAACGCATAAAAATTGTTTTGAAAATATCCCGATCAGGGGTGGATCCAGAAAATTGAATATTCCGTCTCTTTCTTTCTGAATTTTGCTTTCGTTTCTGGGCTTTATTGCAATATGGAGCAATATTCAAAAAGAGGAAAAGGTTTTTCTTTTTAATTTTGTTCTCTCGGCACCTCTCGAAGCAAAGGAGTGGCAATACTTATAGGAAAAAGACTTAATCACAAAATCAAGGAGGTATATTTAATGAGGTAGATATGCAATTATTTTAGGTGAGAGCCTTTTTTCTATTTATCAAAAAATAACGGTGTTAAAGGAAATCATTGAAAAATTTGGCTTATTATCGACGTCCCATTTGATTCATATATGATTTAGGGAGGTGATTATAATGCTATTTTTGACTTAGACTTCGCAGCATCAGGGGGGAATCCGATAAGGGAAAATGCCTGAAACAATTAAAAACCATGAATGCGTAATGTGACCTAAATTGATATATGGAGACTAATCTAATACCAAAAGATTTACCCGGAGAAGTAAAGCTCAAGGTAAAGTAGTTCATTAGAAATTTTCCATAGAAGACTCGATTATTTTTTTATTAGGGACTATGCAATAATTACCAGGAGGGGGCCGTAAAACCAGATTTCTTAAGCAGAAAATTAGTCAGAACCCCCCTCCTTAGCTCTTACCCTCCCCTGCTATTTCAGAAATAACGTCGAACCCCCAAAATCTATATAATAAAACAAATAAATACGTCTCAGTCTGTGGTTTATACTCTGATAAACGCACGATTGGCATTTGAAACACACTCAAAAATGCCCAAAAGCACTCGCCTTCAGCTCGTGCTTCTTTTTTGTTAAATAACTGAGAGCACTGTCCACCTGTAAGCTAAGGTCACGATCCGGAGGATGATGACGAGCACTGACCTTTTACTCAAGGAGCGTAACATGAAGATCCTCAGGCAATCTCTGCAGCCAGGGGCTCCTGCTGCAGCATATGTTATGCAAAAAGAAAAATTTAACACCCTAAAAAAGCAGGTGAAATAAATTACTGATGTTTCAGACGTTAATCCTTCGTCGAAGTAAAGAGCAGCATCTGACGAGTGCCTCATTGCACAAGAAGCTTGGTCTCGTCAGGATTTATTAGAATAGTCTATTATGCCGACAGCATCAGCTTGCGAGACTCTGAATAAAATCTTTGTTAATCTGTTGATAAGAGCATATCACTTGATTCAGCAAATGGAAACAGAAGAAAATATAACCATAATATTATGTCCTTCTGACTGGAAAGGAAATACAATTAACTCTCTTTGAACGACCACTCTTGTAAGCGACCATCTCCCGTAAGCGACCACCTTTAAAATTTCCCGTTTTGTTTCCCATATAAACTCTGTAGAAAAACTCTCTCGTAGGCGACCATTCTCGTAGGCGACCGCGAACACCTTTGGGATTTAAATTGTTTTTCCTCTCCCGTAAGCGTGTACATTTCTTTATAGTAACGTTACTTTATAGAGTACAAATCGTAAAATCGTACTATATCAAACACACTATATTGTTTTCAAGAGAATTAGGACATTAAAATCAACTTCAAGAATTTGAGGAATGGCATGAAAACGGTATTATTGTTCAAAGATTTCATACACTGAAATACGAACATCGTGTTTTGAACTATTTGGGCCTCCTGTGTTGTGATTATCATTGTTTGGGTTTCCTGTGCCAACGTTCTCGTAGGCAACCATCTCTCGTAAGCGACTACTTTTTCCTGATCCCGAGGTGGTCGCTTACGAGAGAGTTGACTGTATATAAATTTGAATCATCTTCATGGTTTAAACAAACAATCAAACGTTTATGACACCTATTCTGTTTTTCATGCACTATAGCCAACAATGAAGAAGTTCGTGGTGGGGTTATTGTTGATGGTCATTATAGTGGACGTGTTTTGTCCATCTGAAGCTTGGTGGTGGAGGAGGAGACGCCGTAGACCCCCGCCTTGTGGCACAAAAGTTAAACAGTACGGATGGGAAAATGATTTCGACGGACATTTGAAATTCAAATGTCCTGCAGGTATGGAAGGAAAACTGTATTTTATACTTTTTACATGCAGTAGAAAAGTCCCCAGTTTTCAAGAGGAGCCGACGAGGTCTGTTCTTCTAAATTACTGTTCTTGTGCGATTTTTTTCTTGAGCTACATTGTTGACAATCTCACTAGCAAATGTGGCGCCCTTCCTTCTTTAAAATATTTTTGTTTCTGGCAAACGTTTTTAAGGTCGAAAAAGGCTTATATGACGTTTTTATGGTTAAAAACGGATTATATTTTTCTTAGTTTTTCCTGGCAAAAATTATTAGAAAGTATTCCTTGCCTGGAGAGTTCTTTTTTCCTGAATTTCTCGCTGGGAACCAGTTGTGACTTACAGCTGGCTGGGACATAAGAACAGATATATTTCTCCCAGGAACCCGTCAGCTTCTCCTGAGTTTTTTACGGGGACGTCCCGCCAAATATAGTATGGTTTTCGGTCTTCGGATCTTTAATAGGGTCATGGTTTTAGAGGTACCGTAGGAACGTCCCCGTCCGAATCTGGATATTTAAACCTGTGGTGAAAATTGTCCTACAAGTCTGGAAAGAAACACCAATAAATGACAACGATTTTTTCCTGCTACTGATGAATCCAACAAAGTCGTAAACTGCCATTTCAAAGCAATCAGAAATCAAAGCCGAAAGATAAAATATAGAATTATCACCATTATTTGGACAATGCAAATGTATCTAGGTGGTACAAAGCACCAAATAAATTCTACTATCTGTCTGTCTGGAAAAAAAAGGCCAGGCCATCATGTGGCCCAAACTGGTTGTTCAAATTCATAATTAAAGGCACGGGAATATGACAAAATATCGTAAAAGGGATTGCTAAAAAGGTTTTTTCATGGAGATCACTCCCCGATTTGATACGTACTAATAATAATACTAAACATAATAATACTAAATTGATGAATGTTTTTTGACTTTCTTTATACTCAACAAATAGGAAAAGCAATAAGGTACGTTCGATCGATGTACAGTCCCTGTGCCCGTGACCGCGCATTCATATTCGGTTGTTCATCTAACCGGTTCACAAAGAAAATGAGGAGGTGCAATTGGTCCAAACACTGGAACAATGACTGGGACAACGCCTTTTTCTTCACGTGCCCAAACCATGGTGTTATGGCTGGGATTGAAAGTATCCATGCCAATAATGCTGAAGACAGGTGAGAAAATGAACAATGAGAATAGTAAAGTCACGATACAACAAAAATACAAGAAAAAAGATTTCATTTAGTTGGCCTTTAATAGCTACGCTCACTCGTGAGAGATCTTTTCAACACTCGAATATAAAATTCGTATCTCCGCGCGCCCATGTAATATCCTCTATATCTATATGCATAATCAGAACGTTTTATTTTCTTCGCGCTCCAGGAGATACAAGTTCTATTGTTGCCACAGCTACTGGCACCGTGCCCGTTTGTGTAAAACCAGTGGCTACGTGAACAATTGGAGGTCTGACTTCAAATTCCGGGTCAAGCGGAAGAATTGGTTTATCGTTGGGGCATACAGTTTTCACAAAAACAGTAAAGAGTAAGTATAAAATTGGAAAAGATAACGCGCGAAATATAATACAATTTTCGCTACAATCTGATCTTTTCTCAAAAAGCAAATCGCCCAGCTCTATTTGAGTTCAAACTGGCTACCAGTCCAAAGCTGAATATCAATAGAATAGAGGGAAAATATTGCCTCTACTAACTATGATGTGTTGAAGGAAAATGAGGGGAAAAAGCAGAAAAATTAAGACACAAATTATGCCGAAAAAACGCAGTGAATGAACTTGTTTTAATTTAATACATACTAAGTGCTGGATTCATATCTTATTCTCACAGGGACCGTCGTTTTAAGTTCCAATACTGCAAAGTTTACTAGCAGCCAGTGAACCTCACTGACAGACACTGACATATGAAAGAAACCCAGCAAAGGCAAAATCTTAATTCTAATGTTACATCAAAGGCAATGATATTACTATAAAATAATCATGATGTAAATTAACGTAAGGGGGTAAAAATCATGAATAATAAAGGTAAACAAGCAACGAGAAAGAGCTTTGAATATGTTTTCAACCTCCTTCAGCGGTATTTTCCGTAGCAAATACAGCATATTTAAAGGGACACTGTCAATGGATGACATGAGCAGTAAAAGTCTTGCCTCTAACGGACTTTGCAAGTATTACCTTGGAGGTAAATCAATGTTTTGACACACTTTGGAATATTCTAGATCTGTTTACGTTTACGAGTACTTTTTTTGTCATRCGTCGCKCCAACTTGGAGTCGTAAACTTGAAAACATTAGCCTAATCTTTTCAAGTTTATTCGCGCATGCGTGCCATTGACAGTGTCCCTTTAATTCATGACTGTGCAAAAACTATTGTGTCTTGACCGTGCTGTTCTTTAGTGGGTTTCTCTATTTGATTTTTTTGTCGCCCACCAATACCAGGCTAGATAAGCTGCAATCTTGGACAAAATAGTTGAGAAAAATAGGTAAATTTTGATCAAAAACACGACGGGAATCATTGTTTCAATAAAACGTTGTCTTTCTACTCCCCTTCCGCCAATAACAATGTTGTCCCAACATCTCCAGATTACAACTTTGACCAGAGGGGGGGTGGGGAGAAATGGCTATTTTTAGAGTAACGACTCTATGGATCTCGCGGGCGTGCGAAAGATTTCAGACACGACTGAAAGCTAAACCTACTAGTCAGCGCCGTATAGTGCTAATCAAATATTCCCTTTCGAGTTTTGCAGCTATTTTTTTCGCCGTTCAATTAACTGTACTCTGTACGAGCAGGGACCGCGGAGCCATCTGATATTTTTTCTTTAATTCTTGAGAATAAAAAGTAAAAATGATAATAATAATGATGAGAATTAACAGCAATCGCGTTGACATCATCAAGGAACTAGGAACTCGAAGTTTATTTGATGTTGATATCGGGCAGGTTAAACTACCGAATTGGATGATACCAATTCGTGCGTTTTAGATAGTTTTGTGTTCAAAATCCCAATGCTTCGTGCCGATATCGCATTAAAATCGATAAAGCGATCGAGAAAGATGTATAATATGAAGGGCAGGGCCGTAACTAGTAAGAGGCCAGCCAACCGAGGCACTCGCCTCGGTAAAATTTTGCCGATGCTTCTTGTTTTTCATCACTTATTTTATCTTAGCCTCTCATAGCCGATTTCGTACGACTGATTTTGTGCAAAAAATATAAAAATAATGTTATTTTTGTACGTGTAGCTTCTTTGTTTCATAAATAATGCATGATGAATTCCGCCGTTAAATCTGTACAATAAAGAGTTACCAAAAGGCCCACAAAACTGAATTTCAAATTTTCTAGGAGGAGAATGCCCCCAGACCCCCCTAGTTTCTTCCGCCATCGGCGGCCGGTTGTCCATTCACCCTGGCTACGGCCCTGAAGGGGTCAGATAGGAACTCACGTACGCTTAAGAGCAGGTTATTTTTGTAGCCACCCATATTTGTAACAATACTTTGATAACTACTGTTAACTGAAAAAGACTGGGTTTGATTTTGAAGTTTCAGGTCTTGGGGCGACTATTTAGCGAGGTTGACAAAAAATCGTAGAAAAACTTTGATGTTGTAGCCTTTAAGCCATATTAAATCATTAAACAAGAACTTATGTGTAGAAAGCCGGTGTAGATTGTGTAGATTGTCACAAGGCTATTGCATCGAAATCGCGATTTTACTGTGTAAATTACATTTTTTATAGCCTAACTGAAGACAAAAACGAATTCAAAACGGCAAATATAAGAACATCCCGATGATTCGTCACAAGAAAAATAAACCGAATTTATAGGGGTGGGTGCTTACCAAAATGCCACGCTACCTGAAACGAGACTCTCCACCCGCCGATTTTGGAAATCTTGAATTTTTGAAGGGATATCGTTTCAGTGTGGAAAGAAGATTGGTCAAGAAGTTCTGCTAGCATGCGCTAGGCGTTGGACAAAGATTTTTTGAAAGTATTTCGACGTATCAAGTAATTCTGACTGAACCAGGAACGATTTTAATGATTTTAGCTTTTTAGTCATCGAATCTTTGGATAACTTACTAGATAATATAGAGCGTGATTTGCTTAATAGAGAGTTCCTTTAGTTACGTATACTGATGATGGCTACGGCTAGTAGCCGAAATATTTAAAGAGTAAATATGATCAAAATACTTCTCGTATATTCCTTCATAATCCAAATCTTTGCCCGCAAGTTTACTTAATAGAGAAGTTTTCTGGTGTCATCAGTTTTTCATTTTTCAACCTTTCGGTCTTAAAAAGCTCTGTTAACCATTAATAGGGTAAATTATTCTTAAATGAAGTTAGGTTCCCATAATTTCTGATTTAATTGATTATCATAAAAATTTATATATATCAGCGATGATTATCTCATAATTTTGTTTACACAGGAAAACCGCATCTTGACAGATATTTCCGCTTATTCTATTAACACGATTGAATCCGAAACGTTCAAACTGATCATATCCTTTTTTTAAACAATTAAATGTCGCTTAGACGAAAAGCAAATTGAAATTGTTGCGCAGTACTTTGTCTTTTTTGGAATCTCAGAGAAATGATTTCAAAACAGCATTTTCTCTSGGTACGAACTTTGCATGCATAGTCACTTGAAAGGTCCAAAATATACATTATGAAATTATTTTAATAATTAAAATTATTAAATTATAAAGTGTTAGATCACTTCATATCCCTTCCGTCGTAGTACATGAGATAATCTCTTCCGTCCCATGCGATGTAGTTGACATCAACAAGGAACTACTGGTTTCTGTTTATTTGATTTTGAGTTCGCGTTTAAGCGCAGGTTATTTTTGTAAGCAGTAACCAAACTTTGATAGTGAAAAGGTTGGTTCATATTTTCAACTTCACAGTCTCCCTGATTTCATTTTAGTTAAAAAGAAAAAGAAATTCTTAAACGGCCTTCCGTTTCATGTGAAGCCACAATCAGATCAAACTTCAATGGTGATTAGGGACCGGATGTGGGGGAGGGGGCGTATGCGAAAAAAAATTCTCTAACCCATTACATTTACATTATTACATATATTCATTTCTGACCCACACAATATCAAAATCATTTCAATGATGGACCCACCTCCCATTCTTATAAGATACTGGCCAGTGCACTTGATGAAATACAATTTGTATTACAAAAAAGAAATGAAAGGTCAGATAATGGATTTATATAGATTATTTTATTAAATACATCTTTAGCGTTATCAAAAGGATTTTGAAATTGGACCACCATCTATAGTTTGTATTTCACAAAACAGAAACTGAACACACCCTCCACACCCGCAACTTCATTTTTCTTTTTGACTCAACCCCATGTTTTTAGAATTTTAAACCTAGTCCCCCTTAATCACCTCCCCCCTGTCCTCACCACCATATACATTATGATCGGCCCGCTTATATCTTAACATTCATAGACTGTTCATCAGTTTCACCCGATAACGAACCGCATCAACTGCACATTTCAAGTAAGTAAAGAATTATATCTATTTTTTAGGATTTATTGCACATGTAAACAAYAGATAGAGTAGCATCTAGTTAATTTTCGGTAATTTAACAATTTTTAATGMAATGTTTAAAGAAAAGAACCTATTTCAAGTATACTTTTTCTACATGCACCAACTCACTAGTCAGAGGAATCTCCACAAAGTTATCTTCAATCGACTGGATATCGAACAATAGACTAGAGTGTAGTTATTTGTCGAGGGTAGAGAGTCGAGGTAAAATGTCGAGAGTCGAGGATAAAAAGTCATAAGTCGAGGGAAAGTTGAGAGTCGAAGGATAGTCGAGAGTCGAGGATAAAAAGTCGAGAGTCGAGGGAAAGTTGAGAGTCGAGGGAAAGTTGAGAGTCGAGGATAAAAAGTCGAGAGTCGAGGGAAAGTTGAGAGTCGAGGGTAAAAAGTCGAGGATACCAAGAAGAACGCTATGATTGGCTAATTTGTTGGTTTGTTGAAATGTAAAACCATCTCGGATAGCCTGCGTAGCGGAGCGGGTAAACCGTGCCCTAGTGCAGTGGACTGGAATCTAGCCTGTCATGGAGACATGATAGGGAGATTTCCAAAATACAGCAGTGAGAAAGACATGATTTGAGTAAGTTTGTTTGCAATAGTTTTATAAATTGAGAAATTGAGAGAATATATACACATTGTGTTGCACTGAAGGTTTTGATTGGCATTGGCAGGCAAGGTGCGTTGAGTGTGGAACAAGCAGGAAGTAACAAGAACGTCCGTTTGTTACATTCGATGGAAAACAAACTCAAAACACATTCACGTGTTTCAGCGGTTTTCAACAGATAAATAAAAATATGAAGCTATAATTTTCCCGGCTTGTGCATWTCCAAATAACCTTGTCATAACTGATTTTCCAAAATTTCTTAATAGCATCACGCAGACAAGATACTTTCAAGTACATGAATTATGATTTTCTAGTGAAATTATACAGCTCCAGTTCAGCACTTTATAGTATATTCAGATCAACCGTCCTTCTACTGTTTTTGCGGTTGGATATTGTAAAATGAAGAATGATGATAACGTTAAAATAAAAAAAGAACAATGTAGAGTCGTCAAAAATAGACTGAATTATACTGAATTCAATGTCAAATGAAAGAACAATGTTGGATTACAAAGACTACCAAAGACGAATTACACCAAAATACAATGTCAAACCTTGAAACTACAATGTTGAATTATGACAAGTACAATTCTTGAAAGTAACAAAGTTACTACAAAGTTCAATCGAGACATCAAAATGCACGAACTTTGTTGAATAGTAACACTGAAGAAATTAAAACTTAGTATGCTAAAAATTTATAAACTTTTCTTCTTTGTATGGTCCCATTTTGGCTCGATCCCTTGACCTTCCGATAGTTTTTGATAGATTCTATCGGCTTAAGTTAATCTTCATGTTAACTGCCTATTTATGACAGGAGACAGTAATTCTATTTTGTTTTCAGGCAGTTCAGCCAATAATGAAGAAATTCGTGGTGGGGTTATTGTTGATGGTTATTATTGTGGACATGTTTTGTCCATCTGAAGCTTGGTGGGCCTTGAGAAGACGTCGGCGTAGAGGCACACGTTGTACGATAAGAAAAATGAAAGACGAGGGATGGCTACATAATTTCGACGGATATTTGAAATTCAAATGTTCTCCAGGTATGGAAGGAAAACTGYATTTTACCTTTTCCATGCAGCAGAAATTCGCCATTCCCACATTTTTTTACGGGGACGGGGACGGGGACAAATATAGTATAGTTTTTGGGTTTGGAGGTGTCGGAATGTACCCGTCCGAATCTGTGGGTATTAAAGTTGGGGTAAAAATTGTTCTACAACTCTGGAAAGAAACCCTATAAATGACAACGATTTGTTCCTGCTACYGATGAATCCACCAAAATATCACAAGAAGTGTCAGTATCAGAGTCGTATTAATTTTATTAACAGTGCTTTCAAATCAATTATAAATCGAAGAAAGATAAATCATAGAATTACCACAATTATTTGGACAATGAAACAATGCAAGTGTATCTATAGGTGGTAAAAAGCTACAAATTAAAATCTTCTATCTGTCTGTTTATCCATGTCTRTCCATTAGCCTTGAAATCTCGAACTTTTCGAATCTCAAAAACGCCTGCCTCTCGCCGCGATTTGCATAGTTCTATTCGGAAGACAGTGTAATTTCTAGATGTCAATATAGCAGAATAAGCAGTTCAAGTACATACCGTACCGAGAAAAAAAGAGTTTCGCAATCTTTTTTACAGTGTGTTAGCTTCAAAATATTCAAGTAATTAGATGAAACTCATGAGATTTCAAACTATTTCCATTGCCTTCTATAATACAGGCAAATCGGCTTGTATTTTCATGCACGAGCTGTTACTGAATAAAAGAATTACATGATTTTGAGGCTGTAATGATCGCTAAAAGGTTTTTTTTCATGGAGATCACTCGATTTGATACATACTACTACATGACATACTAAATTGATGAATGTTTTTTGACTTTCTTTATACTYAACAAATAGGAAAAGCAATAAGGAAAGTTGAATCGGTTTACAGTTCCTGTGCCAAGGACCGCGTGTTCAAATTCGGTTGTGCATCTAACCAGCACACAAAGGAARTACAGAAGTGYGATTGGTCCCAWCACTGGATCAATGACTGGGACAAGCCCATTGTTTTCATGTGCCCAAACCATGGTTTTATGGCCGGGATAGAAAGCATCCATAGTAGTCGCTATGAAGACAGGTGAGCAAATTGTACAACGAGAATAGATAATATAATAAATTTCAATACCTTTTCGCAGTTAAAAACAAAGCGGGCAACATGTTTGCTGCTCAAATGAACTAGAATACCAAGTATTATCAAAATTATGACTTATTTCACCATCAAAAATTATTTTCCTGACATTGAAAAAAGATAATCAAAAACATTTTTGGGTTGTTGCCCGATTTTGGCTTGCTTTGGTGAAAAACCAACTTGTTTCCTAACAGCATCAGTGCTTTCGGAGACGAACAATGCGTCCGCCATCTTGAAAAAARTGGGACTCGAATCACTAAATTATAACTCCTAAAGGAATCAAAGACTTCTCAGCTAATGTCAAGTTATTCTTATACGATGTAATGATGGATTAGTTGACTTAGAAACTACAAAWTGTGTTCTAAGRCACAACATAGYGATTCCGTTCTCACTTTTCAAGATGGCGGACGYATTGTTCTCCGAAAGTACTGATGCATGTAAAACACTGTTTAGTTGTAAAGAGATGACAATAACAAATCGTTTTAATTTAAAAATCAAGACCAACAAATCCAATGTTATTGACATTGTGTCACAAACTGACACTGGACCATGTAAACCTTTTATTCTTCTCTTTATTTTCTGAATTACAGGCAAATAACTCGTTGTAACTGAGAATAATTCATAATTTAAGATTATTCCACGTTTGAATTGAAATCATTTTTATTCCTATCTTTCRAAGCCTTGGTACATCGTCTGGGACTGGAATTACAACTAAACTTGCCACTTTTGAGATGGGGTACCGGGTAGCGTGGATAATTTGTTCGTTGAAGGAATTTTTKAGATCCTAAAGCAAGTGCTCGAAATTCCTTYAGTTAAAGTGCAAAGATTCTAGTGGAAATTTCGCCTTGTAGGAACAATCACATGCTCTAAAATAACTTAACAACTATCCCAACAATCATATTAAAAATGMAATACATTAATTACAAATATCCTCAGAGTTGTTACATTATTTCTTTAAAGTAAAAAAATAAATACCACTTTGGCAGAATTCTACCATTATCTCTATCATAAATAATTTTTTTTTCTCTTTAATTGTGAAGACCTGAGTTGTCTTTCGGTCTTTACAAATGGCTGCCATGTAGTTTTTAACAAACCGATCATATCCTATCTATCTATCTGTATAAGCAGAAAGTTTTATTTTCTTCGCACTTCAGGAAATTCAGGTTCTATTGTTGCCATAGCCACGTTCACCATGCCCGTTTCTGTAAAACCAGTCGCTACGTGAACAATTGGAGGACTTATATCAATTTCCGGGCGCCACGGGATCGATTCATCGTTGGGGCAACCAGTTTTCACGACAACGGTCAAGAGTAAGTACTAAAAATTGGAACAGATAACAACGTGAACAGAGTCACACAGTCCAAAGCTTAATGAGTTGTGTTGATTTACCAGTGACTTAGTGTCTTTTTAATTCAGCGAATATGAAAAAAACGTTGGGTTTACAAAAAGTTGAAATCAACGAAAACGGATTTTAAGTACTCAGGAATTCAAACTGATGTCATTTTCCTGAACACATTACATTATAGCATTACTATACGGATTGGAAACTAAACATTTGGGCCGTTTTTAACAAATTTTCATGTGTTGCCTGACATGAATTCTGCAAGATTTCATTCCATTACATATCGAGACCGTATCAAAGAGCGATAATGACTGTGTTCGTCAGAAAGGGCACGATACACACCTTACATAAGATGTAGATAAAAACTTGAAGTTCATTTTCAAAAAATCAATTAAAATACGAGTTTCCGGCATCCAACGCCATCATCACTTCATGCTCATTATGCCGGAAAAATCTCACTTATACACCAAATCACAAACACTCTGCCCCACTATTATATAAATGATTTGTGCTCCGTCCGTCTTATAGGGACTGCACAATAATTATCGGGCARGGTAGGATGAAAAACATGAGAAAAAAAAGTGGAAAAATCATAAGACGCCCCCCTYACATTTGAAGAACATTATGCCATGCCCCCGCTAGCTTAACTGAAAGAATAGATTACATCTACCTCCCATTTTCTTCAAAGTTAGAGCTCTATCTAAGCATGTTCTAAGTGAATGCAATTGTTT